CAAAACATGGTCATCATTAGGGCTTATAAAGTCAGCAATGTCTCCATCTTACAATAAACAGATGTTTATAAGTACTTATTTAATAAAGAAACTGAAAGAAAATATAAACATAGGGAAACGAACTAAGCACTATGTTTATCCATATCTATAGTTAAGTAAAAATATTTACATGTTATTGAAAAAACTGAAAAGAAAAAAAATGTCTTTCTCTTTTGGTAAGAAAAACCAAAAGCAGCATGGCTGACTTACGTTGTTAAAATATAGCCTACATATACATTTTTTTTTACTCTTCACTTCCTTCACTTTAAAATATGTAAGCCAATCCATCTCACAGTTCAGAGAGATCTTCCTTATTCTTTCTTACATTTCCATAGTACTTCATTGGGTAGTGATATAATAGTTTATTCAACAAGTGTCCTGTGAATGATGTTTCATATTTGTGGAAGCAAGATTTCTGGGTCAAGGACAAATACTTAGTTTTGTTAGACATTGCTAACCCCCCCTCCAGAGTTTGAAACAATTCTGCATTCCCACTAGCAGTGTATGAGACTGCCACTTCCCTACAGCCTTGCCAACAAAATGTGTTTAAGCTTTTGAATTTTTGCCAATCTGATAGGTGTGAAATGTTATCTCAGTGTAATTTCAATTTGCATTTTCACTTAAAAGTGAGCAATTTTTCAATGTTTCAGGGCCACTTTCTATCTTTGAGCTATCTGTTCATGTCTTTTGAAAGGCCAAACATTTAAAAATTAGATTTTACCTATTTCAGAATTATATGTTAAGTGGAATTTAGCATTATTAGTAGACTGGGGTTCAAGCCCCAATTCCCCCTTCTACTGTGGTGGGGCACTGGGCAAACTGCTTAACCTGTCTTTGCTTTCCTTATCTATAAAATGGAACACTCCTTCCACCCTAGTCCTATATAGCTAATGGGTACTTCCCCCTCAAATTACAAATATAAAGTTTCTCCCAATTCCTTTTACTATGTGAAAATACAAAGACAAGCTTGCAACCCGGAAGAGGGCCCTCACTTGACCATGCTGGCACCCTGATCTCAGACTTTCAGCTTCCAGAACTGTGAGAAATAAATTTCTGTTGTTTATAAGCCAACAAACAAACAAAACCCCATTTCTCCCATATGAAACCCTCTCTGTAACAAGATCTCTATTAACTTAATGCTACACATCTCTAGTAGAGGGACAAAAACCCGTATGTAGAAACCCTCTCTTCATTCTGAATCCTCCTCCAGACACTGTCCTTTCGCCCTCCCTTTCATAGCCCAACTCCACAGAAATGTAATCTAATATTCGCTTTCTCTAATTCCTCATTTCCCATGTGTCTCAGCCCACAGCACCATGGCTTCTGCCCTCATCATTCTTGCTAGTGTTACTAATGACCTCTTCTAATTGTCTAATCCAAGGGTCACCTTGTCTAATTGTCTAATGCATTGGTCTTCTATGAGTATCTATCTGATATGGTTCATCACTCCCTCCTTATGGAATTAGATGACATGCCACAAATACCTAGCTTCATACCTGGCAAAATAAAGAGGATCAACAAATGTTTGTTGAATGAATGATCAAATGAGATAATAAAGCACTTTAAAAATTATTAAGTGTTAATATAAGCACTATCACCATATTAGAAGTGATCTGTAATTTGGCCATTGAACTGGGAGATCGCACAGATCCTGTGCTGAAGTTCCGGTGAGTGATGGACAACTGATCTTTTCTCAGCTGACTTACTTTCAAAACATATGGAAGCTTCTGAAGGCTCTGTGCTCAACCTTCCGCACCAAAGAGGCATGAACTACAAAGGATTTCAAGGAGACAGAAGCCAAGCAATAAAGGGTTGAGTGGCTAAGCTGGAGTAAGGGACATGTGACCACCAAACTTCTGAATTTTAGAAATCTCAATCCTCTGAGGAACTCTGTCCAGGTGCAGGGAAATAACACTGATGTGATGGGAAAAGTCCACAGTTTTCATCTACCTGTCCAGAGAAAATTCAATCTGACAGTCTGAAATGATACATATGCAGAAACAAAATAAATTACAAGCACTGGCTACTGACTCAGGGAAGCCTGAATAAGTGACTTGGGCTGTGGTTGGGGCTGCTTTCACTTCAACCAGAAAGAAAGAATTGGAGTCAAAGTGGTGTAAATTACTTTTTTGCCCTCAACACAAATGCCATTCCTATTAGCCCCTGGGGTATTCCACAGACACAATCTTTTTTCTTTTTTCCCTTCATGCTTCTCAGGCTCACAATGACATAATTTTATTGGGGTTTTTACTATGTCCTATGTAATTATGTAAAGCATTTTTAATTTTCCTGACACGTAAAATGAGATCTTGGGACCATAATACGTTTTTAAGTAAGTTCATGTCCATCTTTCACTGTGGTTTCCCCATACTGTACCTTGGCCCTAAGACCCAGTGACTGATTTCTTTCAAATGCTATCCTTGGAAATAGCCTTGTTGGGGTCCAAATGATCCAAGCAAAATAGGAGAGCACATTTATGGCAAATAAGGAGTGTACTAGGGGTTCTGCAAAGATCAATACAACTTGACATAATCTCTAAGAACTGGTATCCATGTCCATGTCATCTTCATCATACCATACCTACAGCCTCCACGCAGTGAGTCACATCACCATGGCAACAAAGCACAAGATTTCTAATAACTTTATGCTACACCTTTCTAGTAGAGGGACAACAATCATGAATATGATGAAAATAGTCCATCTGATAATTTTCTCATCTATTCACAGATCCTCCAATTCTCTGTCCCAACTGTACAAATAACCACCGACCTGAGGCTTAATTTTCTTTGAAAAATAAGCACTATTCTAAAAGGATTTGTAACGTCAAAACTTGAAAAAAGATAATGATCGGCAGTAAAACTTCCGACTAGGTTTTTTCCATGAACAAACTTGTTGGTTGTGTGGCTGATACTCCTGCGCTTCCCTTGTTTAAGAAAGCTGCCTGCCTTTCTGCAAAGGGTCTCTGTTCACATCTAGCTTTTTCTCGGCCAAATCGGATAGCCTCCAGGAGAGCTGTTGATACTGAGAGTCGGTTGGGCAGAGGCATCCAGCTCAGGGAAATAGTACACTCTTAGGGGTGTGGGAGAACTCCTTTTTCTGGAAATACCCTGGCTTCCGACCAATGAATCCTCTCTTCTTGCTGCAGATTTTCTCTAAACTATGCTCTACACTTTTCTTCTCCATACCAGCTGGACACCTTTCCAAATAAACATCTCTGTGCGGTGCACTGCAGAGCTGAGCATTCTTCCAGAGGGAGGGGAGAAATCCTGCTGCCTCTCTTCACACAATCTACTTGTGCTCCAGGCATGGCAGCAACGCACAAGATGACATGACTTTGCAGAAAATTAACACCACCACTCGCAGCTTGGATAAGACCTCTTTTTCCGTGTCAATTGCTGGGAAAGCCAGCAGAGCACAGACTCACTGGAGAAGAGATAGCGGTTTGGACACAGGATATGGTGGTGCAAACAAAGGGAGGAAGCCATCAAGGAAGAAGTACAATAAGAAGTTTAGACAACCTGCTCATGCACTTATTTTGTTGGATAAGAGTTAAATTTCAGGATTCTCCAGTTTGAAAGTTTTTTTCCGAAATAAGAAAAATATTCACAGTGGGAAGAACATGTCCATTCTCTTGAAAACAGAATTCTATCTGATGGGGAATAGATTTTCCTTTTTTCAAAAATATGTACATAGATACATATTAAAAAATTAAAAAGACTGGAAAGCTGTATTACATAATGAAAGATAATGCTTATGATGATTAAATGTTATTGTCTTCTAAAAATTTCTAAGTTTTCTACAATGAACATGAATTATTTTTGTAATAAATAAACCCCCGAAGACATAAGAATATGTCAATAATCACAAAATAATAGGATAAATCTATTGGTTACAAATACTCAAATGCATTTGTACTTGATTAGAGACTGCAATTTGGGGAGAACTAAACTGTTCTTTCTGCTTAGAGTAATATTAAAATTTATTTATATGTCCTAAAATATACCATTTGAGGAGGGGGTCAGTAGAAGGTAGTTCTTAAGGAGGTGGCAGTGGAGACACATTTCAGTACGACTGAAATTTAAAAGGTTGGCCAGTCAGATATTGACTGTATTTGATATTTATCATGTATATATCCTTTTTGGTATTAAAATCTAAGCTGAATGAAAAGGGACTGTCAAGTTTATGGCTTTGGTTACTTTCTAACATGAGCTATTTGTAGCTACAGGCACTTGCCCTTCATAAAAATGTCGTGATACATGGAGACAGTTGGGGGCAGGGTTCATCTGAATGAATGACTCATAAGTTTTCTATAAATAACACAAAAATTCTTTCCAACAATACAAGAGCAGGGAATACTTGAATCCTCACGGAAGTATACACAAAAGACATCAAAGCCAGGTGCCTTACAAATGGAAAGGTCAACGACAGCTTTGTAGTATGATCGCCATCCAGAAATGGCAACAACACATTGGTCGAGTTCAAGTAATGGAAAAGAAATGCCCCTCCCAGCTCAGTTTTTCATGAGTAATTTCATAGCTATACACCACTATGAATCACTCCACAAGCACACACACTCTAGAGCGTCAACAAATTAATTCAGGGCACAAGCCTTCAATGGCACATAGTCTGACTGCCTGGTGAAACAAACTCTTGAATATTCAGGGTGAGATGATCCAGTTTTGTCAGTTCCTGTGCATTTATTCCTTTTCTCTCCTGTTTCCCAGCTTCTAATCATTTCACACTTCACAAATGTACTCACCAGAGAAAGGAAGTGAAATTCAAACCAATCGAATTTAGTTCCCTGCTAGCATTTTTGGTCAGAGTGTGTGGGAAGTGGGAACAAAAACAAGATTTTGACACCCCCCTCCCCAAGTTTAATTATCCTTGTTAACCTTGTTTGCACTCCTGTGTACAGATGAAAACTAGAACTCTTTAACATTTGGGAAGAGAATGTGTCTTAGGATTTTGGAAACTTTCCTAATTCATCTGTCAGAGAGGTCTCCTTGGGCTAATTACAGGTCACTGAATGTTCAGAAACCATAAAGAACAATTTTAACTCACTGAATTTTTGGTAATCACAAAAGTATTCAGGGGACTAAACATGTAGCTGCAAGGTTCTGAATGCTTACAAGTTCAGTAGCCTCTCAGTTGTAAGTTGTTCCCACTTGCTGTGTTCAGATCTATCAGACCTTAGACACACTTGGCAGATCTGAAAGAGTGACCATAAAGGGTCATCCTGATTGGATACACTGTAGAAAACGACTGCGGACTAGTGTTTTTGACTTTGACTATTATGGAGAACAGATGAGGTATTTAATAAACCATGGGGAAAAAAGGCCTGATGTGTAGCATTTGCCCATTTCCTTGGTGTAAATTTTCCCACCATAGTCAATTTTAACCCATCAGCTTGATGTCACTGAATGAGGAACTGGGAAGGGATAAGAAGCACACCATTATATGTAACATTTCCACCATACAACAGACATAAATAACCTTAAAGGCACAGATAATTGTAAAATAATTAGAAAGTGGTTTAATTATTTATTACCTCTGTTTTTAATGTAAGCTACCTGTTATTTAAATACAATAAAATTTAGCAGTTGCTCCACCCCCCGCCATGAGTTGGCATGGACTAGCTTCGGCACACCACTTAAAGCCGCCCCAAAACTTACCAAGAACACATGCTCAAATATCTGTGTAGGGCTATCCATCTGACCAAGGATCACTATCATTTCATTATCTATGAATTCCTTAAATTCTCGCAAGTTGCATACCATTTGCATTTCCAACTCAGTTCGTATCTGAAACAAAGATGACATATTACACTAATCTCTGTAAAGTCCTTCTGCACTTTCAATCTCTCACAGTGTTTAGCCCCACACCTATCCCACTCCCAGTGGTGGAACAACAAGGATGTACGGTCTCTTACCTCTTTCGATGTGATATTCTCCAAATCCTTCTGCATCATAATCTCCCTTAATTTGGTTTTAATTAGTCTTTCTGTTCGCTCACGTTCAGTTGGTCTGACAAGAGAGAAATGGTGATTTTTCTTAGGCAGGAATTTGACTAAGTTAATGAAAGTGCCATTTGATTATGTTTCCAGATTGGCAGGCCTTGCCTCTATTGCCTCAAATTTATATTCTGGGGCCATGGTCAAAAGAAAATGATATTTTAAAAAGTTTCTTTTCAGAATGTATAGAATGTAAACATGTAGAAATTGTTACCTGAAGAGGTTGTACATGTCTAAAAGCCCTTACATATATTCGCGCACATAGCTCAATGAAGGGGTAAAGACAAGTAGGTATACTGAGTGTAATACTTTAATGGAGGACCATAATCCATATTTTCCCATCAAGTTCCCCTGAGTACCACTTGCTGAGCTAGAATACCAAGCTGGGTGTGACCCACTATGGAACTGGGTCTTCTATACCTTAAAATGCCACCTAATGCTCATCATTCATCACTATGGTTCTAGAAAATGGGAAAGGGAACAGTGATTTCTGCCTTCTTCAATGAGGCAAATTCTCTTCCACAATGGGTTTCAAGGATGAACTACCTGGAGTACTTCCATCCAAAACGCTTTCCTTTTCATAAAAGCTCTCACAGTCTCTCTGTGAAATTGTTACCCTCATTTTACTGATAAAGGAAACAAATAGCCGAAAGGTTAACGACATGCCAGTGATCACGCCCACTGGCAGGAAAACCAGAGCTCAGCCCAGTCTAACACGCTACCTGCAGGATTGTGTTGCTTTTCTTAGTCTTCTGACTCTTTTAAAAATAAAATTGCCCTTGGAACTTTAATATGAAATCAAACTAGGAAGCTGATTCTCCAATTACCATACAGGTATTGGTTCAATGTAACTGGATGCTTCTCTCTAAAAGCATTATTTCATATTATGCAGAATTTGAGTGAGGCTGACAGTGAGCACTTTCGGTCTCATCTTTCCCTCCTACCTACTCGAGAAAGGTATCTGCTCTGTACCTCCTTATTTGGAGATGGAAATGGACTAAGCCTTCAGGCATCCTGCCTGCCCTTGCTGCCTACAGCCTTATCACTGGCTGCAAAAATAGCTTCGGTAATCTCCAAAGATGGATGCTCTGACCCCACAACCTTGGGGCTCCCTACCACTTGGGTTCTTAAGTTTCTCATGAACCCTGCAGAATACAAGCTAGTATCGGTGCCACTTCCCCATCAATCAGCCAATCCCTGTCTTGACTAGGACTAAAATTTTTAATCATGCTCCCCACCATTTTTCCTAGACATAGCTAATGGTAGAAAGTTACGCACTTCAGTCTTCTATTAAAAAGAAATACTGGTAAAAACACACTTTAGTACCTGTGTGCATGGTTTAGATTCCCTAGTTCAGCAATTTTTATCCCAATCCTTCACTTTTTTAAGGAAGAGTGGTTTGAGAGCAGCCCTGCTACTTACTAGTGGTGTGACCTTGAACAAATTCCTTCCCTTCTCTGAGCCTCTTTCTTTTTACATGAAATGAGGACAGTAATAATATCTGCCTCATGAGGTTCTTATGAGGATTAAATAAGATACCCTGTATGAAGTGCCTGGCATAGCATTTGACATAAACTGGAGGCACCATATACATCATATGTTCCCTTCTTCACCTTCCTTGGATTTTAAAACACAAACTTTTTCCACAGAAGAGAACATAAATCCATTTTGGCACACATTCTCCCTGTGTTCACAGCATATTTTTTAAGGCTTTTCTAAGTCAACTTAGGGCAGAGGAGGGAATGGAAAAAGCATTACAATACAAATACATTTTCTCCCTTGACTTCACTGGCGCAAAATTTGGAAAATACATAAAAACACGAGAAAATAAAAATCACTGAAAATCTATCAGAGACAATCATTAAAACTCTGACCAATTATTCAATTATCTTAAAATTGGGCTTATACTGTATATACTAAGAACTAACATTTAATGAGCCTCTACCATGTAACTGGGACTGCATATTACAAGATTTTTTTTTCCTTAGGGGTATACAGAAATTATGGGCAATTTCATTTTCTTTTTTTTGGTGTGCACTGCAATTTCCCATTTTTCTCATGAAAAATCAGAAGGGTTTTCTCTCTCTCACGTAAGCCTGGTTCAGAATGTCCACTTTTGATACCCACCAACCAGCTGTAAAGCAGGAAATCAGTAACATTTCCCAAGATTCTGAAAGCCAAATTAATCTTTACCTTTTTTGTTACTGTGGGGTCTTGAAAGGACCAGGGCTAATGAAAAAGAGGTCCTAGTACCAACAACACCCTATGCGAAATAGCTGCCACTGCTTTTCTGGCTGGGCTGTTCACGTAATTCTTGGAAATTTCACCTTTTCTAGTAAAAATCATGCATTACGATATTATCTAAATTAAGCCTTTAAAAAAAAATCATGTACTGTTTTGGTATCACTTTAGGAATCTTCAGATGAAGGTTTGTACGGGCAGATAGTAAGTAGCTACTCTTCTTTTCCAGCTGTAGAATACCTTGGAAGTGCAGAAAGATGAATTCAGAGCAAAATAAACATCCTGATTAATTTCCAAAGCAGGAACTAAGTGTGAAAAAATTTCTAAAATAGTCACTTAAGTTTCAACACATAGACCTAAAAAGGAAATAAACATTGGCTCCACCTTAGGCCTTATGCAACTCACAGCACACCAGGGAGATTTAATAAAATCTTACTGAGAAAGACTTAACAAAGCAAAGGGGGGCTGAGTAAGGCATGAGAATTATAAAATACTTTTAAACAAATCTGAACAGAAATCAGTTTAAAATTAGCGTAACAGCCTAGCCATTCTTGTAAATTGACAGGAAACATCTTCTTTTAAGTACTGGAAACACCCCTCTAAAAGCTTCTATTTGTCATTAATTTGCTTACTAAATGTTTTTTTTTCACAGATAATGCAAAGGTAGACTTCAGCCTAACTCCTTTCAACTCAAATTTCAAATTAGTGGATTCTGAATCAATAGGATTTTACCGTGCTGCAGTTCTTAACTCTGGAGACTCCATTGTGCCCCCGAGTGAAACTCTGCAGATAACAGAAAGAATAGAGTTCTTTGTGTGGCAGTTGTGTAGCGTAGACCATGACTAACATTGCTGGGTAAGATTAATTCCCCGAAAGGAGAGATTAGGGAGGAACATGTTGCTTACGATAGTCTAGGACACAATAGAGAAGACTTCCATGATCCCTGGCAAACTGACTTACATGTCGGTGAAGAGAGCTGGAGAGTCGGGCCGGTGGGACTGCACATCCTGCATGGCATTCCATTCATTGACTGATGACTGGTCTGAGTTGATGTGGCTCTCATAGTAACTCACCCAGGTGAGAAACAGGCTGCCTGGGTAGTAGTTATGCATTCTGGCCACTTCACAAGCCTTGTGTAAACTCTGCAGTGCAGACCTGAAAGACATGCAGGGAAATGAGCACTGCGGAACTATAGGCGGTCCCCAAAAGGCCAATAATCCATGTATACCCCAAACTCTTCCAATTTTTAAATCCTATAGAATTCGATCAGGGGGATCACTTCATAGACTGTGTAGATACCTGACCACTTCACTATGCACCTGAAGCTGAAGAAGAATAATGCTTAATGTCAACTATAATACACACACACACACAAGCACACACACACACGCATACATATATGGTTGTCGGAAAAGTCATGACATTTTTTCTGTTTTTCGTTGCATGGGATGTAAAGTATAGCATAGTGAATAGAGTCAATGGTATTGTAACAGCTATATATGATGTTAGAGGGGTAGTAGATTGGGGGAGGGGGTTATCACTGTGTGAGAGGTGTAAATGTCTAACTATTACATTGCTTTGTACACCTGAAACTAATAAAAAATGATTTAAAAAGTCCTATAGAATTTGGCCTCTGGAGAACCTACTCCCTGGAATTCAAGATTCTCTGATTCTGATTGTACTATATTATCTATTCATAGCAATCGACTAGACATTTCTTGCTGAAAGGTATGATGCATTACTAAGGTGGGGGTGGAGGGAAGCAGGGGAGCTGACAACTCACCAGTGAAAAAAAGGTTGGGGTGCCTACAGAACTCATGGTCCTTAGAGTTGGAACCATGCTGTGATTATGCTGTATCACTAGAGAACAAAGATCTCAACCATTTACTATACAAAGATCTTTCCCTTGGCTCACAATCATGTTACAGTGTACATTCCCTACAATTCTTAAAGCCTCCACAAGTTCACATAGATTGATGTCCCTAAGCCCTGAGGACGTGTCCTTTAATGTCCAGGTAATACTGATTTAATGTCATTTATCATTCTTGCTGCCTTAGTCTCCCAGTTTCTTTAAACCATTTATTCATACTCTTGAGTTACTTTCTAAGAACAGCTCTGGTTATACTGAGGCTAATTAAATCTGACTCTCAACTCAGGAACCCAAGAATAAACAAAACTGAAAAGTTCTTTTTTGGTTATATGCTTGGGAAAAGCTAAAGCTAGAAATGCTAGAAAGTTAGTTACACAAGAGCAGGAATATTTCTCTGTTTTGTTTACTGATGTATCTCAAGTGCCTAAAAGAATGCCTAGTTCATAGGTGGAGCAGTTAGTATTTGTTGAATGAAATGTCTTACTAGTTATAAACTAATGTCTCTCTTAAGGGAAAAGAACAGTATGCGAGAATTTTGTGGCCAATCCATTTACATATTTTTCTTAAAAAATGCCTGTTTATTTTTTCTCCTATAACAAAAGTGACCCACACTCACTTTAGAAAATTGAGGGACCTCAGGTAAAAGGCAGAAATATACTGTAATCCAACCACCCAGAAATAACCATTGTTAAGGTTTTAGTACAGATCTTTTCAGTCTTTTTATCTATGCATAGGTCTATAATAAAGATATGACCATATTATACATCATTTTAACTTGTCCTTTTACTTTACACTTTGTCATTAATATCTTCCCATGTCAATAAATATTCTTCAACTATATACATATATATATATTTTTAAAGATTTTATTGGGGAATTGGGGGAGGGGAACAGTGTTGGGGAATTGGGGAAGGGGACCAACCAAGTTGTTCTTCAATCTTCATTGTGGAGGGTGCCAGTCACCATCTGGCTTCCCGTCAGCCGCTCATGGCCTCTAAGCTCAAGGTGCTGTGTTACAATCTTAGTTGCAGGTGGGCGTAGCCACCATCCCATGTGGGAGTCGAACCAGCAGCCTTGTTGTTAAGAGCACATGCTCTATCCACTGAGCCATCCGGGCGGTAGCTCAGCTCAAGGTGCCAAGTTCAATCTTAGTTGCGGGTGGGCATAGCCCACCATCGAACAGGCAATCTTGTTGTTACATCAGCTGAGCCATCCTGCCACCTGTTGGTAGCTCAGCGACAGCTCAGCTTGGGTGCAGCATCACTAGCCCATGTGGGAATCGAACCGGTGGCCCTGTTGCTCAGAGCTCACGCTCTTAAGCCAACTCTTAACCAACTGAGCCACTCGGCCGGCCCTTCAACTAGATTTTTAATGGCTGCACACTTAGTAACATGAATATATCATAATTCGACTGATTCCTATTTTTCAGACATTTAAATTATTTTCTATTTTTTTGCTATTATGTGAACACTGACAAATATTCATATAGCTAAAATTTCTGCACATGTCCATGATTATGACCTTAGGATAAATTCTTAGAAATAGAATAGGTCAAAGTTCACACAAAATGATAAGGTATATTGGCTAATCATTCTTCAGAAAGGTTGTTCCAGTTTATTCTCCCACCAATACTATATAACGTCTATTCCATGGGTCCTTGTCAACGCCATATAATGTAATATAATAATATTAATACCATTACCAATTCAATAAGGGAAAAACATGCCAGTCCATTTTTATCAGGGAAATAGGCTTTTCCTTTAGAAACCAAGTTGCAAATTTCTTTTCAAATGCTATTACTCAAAGTAAACCAGCATCTCCGAGGATTAAGTCAAATTCTCAGAGAATTCTCAGTGAATTTCAGCTTCCTTACACAGATTCGAAGGCAAGGGCCAGCTTAGGATATTTATTGTAGAGGATACTCAATGCATGTTTACTTCATCTGGGAGACATGTGCTTCAAAAGCATATGCCACAAGCGCCTGGTGCAAGTGCCCTCAAATACACTCAAAGCTTAGCCACCTCAGATTCTTCAGCTGCATACAGTGGTGGGAAGCTGCCGCAACTACCTTCCTGTGAAGGAAACACCTGGTCTAAATGCTGCTTTGATCTATACATCACCTATTTTTTTTGTTTTGTTTTTTGGTGACTTTCAGTTCACATGTAGTATACCAAAAAATGTTTATTCTGTAATAAACTAACAGAGCTAGGACTAGTGGGTCTACTTTAGAACATCAAAGCTTAACTAAGGTTATTCCTGAATCTTCACTGTCTTAAGAATTAAGGCTGCTTTGTACTCCTCCCCAAAACACAACTGAAAACACTGCCACTTAAGGGACTTACGCTGTTTGGTTTTACTTGGTACCTGGGAACAGACAGGTCAGCTACCTTTCACCGAGCCTTAGTCAAAGTTTTCCATGAGAAATCTATCTGTGAAATATGCCCTAAATCTAAAAATCTGGTCTGAACACATGACCTGAAACTCTGTCCTGCCTCAATTACTGCACCAAATGATAAGACTGTTAATTGTTCAGTTGACTCTATTTTAGGACCCCACCCACCTTGAGCCTATCAATCCTGTTATTCAGGGGTAAATGATCTCCCTGGAGTCTTTTTCAGGCTCCTTTATTTCTTATTTGGCTTGCGTTCTGTTCTGTTCCTCACGGGGACACCTACTACAGAACAGGCAACTAAATGAGGAACTAAAATTCAAATCCCTGACTGTGGATCTCAGAGTTGTATCATTCCTTGCTTATATCAGATCATTTTCCCAGATAATGTAGCACAAGAGAATAAGAGTCTATTCTATTTAAATATTAGAGATACTCTAAGACCACCTATGGAACCTTCCTAAAACCTCAGTTTTCTCATCTGGCATAAGCAGCTAATCATAGTATTTTAGGGAGCTGATGTAATGATTAGATGTAATCCATGTAAAGCCCTAGGCACAATGCCTGACATATATACAGTAAGTAACCCCAAAGTGTTAATATACCAGCTAATGGCTATTAACAACTACAGTGTTTTTTCTAGGCTTTATTTGCATTATGCAAATAGCCACCAGCAATTTAAACGGAAACTTATCTATCTATAGGTAACTCCATCAGTGCTATCCCTGATTAACTTAAGAAACTGAAAGCTAATGCACAGTAGTAGTGTGAGGTTCTAGAGTTGGCTCTAGACAGCTACTAACTCAGTCAATGTGTCTCTATAAAACTCAGCTCCAACTGGCTTTCTGATCCATTAAGCATCGTCCAGAGCCTAAGAACACCTCTTAGGCTTGTTCACCACCGCTCATGGCCTTCACTGTGGTAATATGAAAAGGGAACTTCTCAGTCATCTTTAGCTATGATGGTCACATGCACAGATTACACAGAACTCTAGACACACAAACAGATCAGCATTTTCACAGAGAATGGTACCATTTCAAACACCACTTCTCACAAACTATTGTTCCAATAACATATTAAAAATTTGCATAGAGATATTAAAAGTCCTCTTACCACATTGCCTGCACAGATACAGGTTTGAATATGTGGACTCTGTTATCTGTTGATACGCTGAACCCACTGAAGAAAAAAAAAGAGAATGAGACAAAAATCCACAAGTGAGAGTGGGTTATTTCAGTTGTAAGTTTTCAAGGTTGTTTCCCAGGCTAGCAGCTGCTGGCTCAGCAGAAGGAATCATCAGGCACTTCATGAAGAAGTTCACTGGAGGAGAGGACGGGGCTGAAAAGCTTCAGCAAATTGTCTGTAGATTTTACCTACTCAGCAGAATGAATGAGCTCCCACATTGGAGTTAGGGAATTACATACAGCTTCCCAGCTGTAACCATGGACAGACTGTTTTGCTGTATTATTTCTATTTGGAAGTCTTGTGTGTTCTTAGCAAACCTGACTCTGGTTTTATAAACTGGAGCAAACATCTTGGTCTCTTGGGGACACATTCTAAAAACACTGGGAGGTGGGGGTGGAGGGTCACTGGAAGGAACTGGCACAGAACAGGGGTTATACTGTAGGCTGACAGCTGGCAGAGGCAGCAAGAGGTTATTTGAAATAGAACATATCATCCTCTGGGAGAGCACTGCAACAGTCCCGCAGCTCAGATTAAAGAGCGAGCCAACAAACTAGTTTCTCTTTGTTTGGATTCTCACCACAGTCAGCCTAGAAGAACAGAAGTGAGAGGCCCTGGCAAGTTGCATTTTCACTCCACTTTACAAAACAGGAGTTTAAAAGGCCTCACTGAGCTGCTGACATGACAATTCAGTCGGGCACACTGGGCCTCCCATTCAGCTGAATGAATGGGCACTAAGATGGAACCCCGCCCCTTGGCTTTCTGTAGGAGAATAAAAAAGGAAAGCTCTTACCCATCGCCATCCAAATGAATTAGGGTGTCACTCCAGAGAGGCAGGACTAAACCCATGGTACAAGTGCTACTGCAAGACAAGAAATAGTCCATAAGTTACTTCCTGTTATTCTAGGCGGCCACTCTTTCTTTATTAACTCTTTCAACACAAACGATAAGCACCTAAGCTCTAAACTCTAGCCTAAGTGTTAGCGTGGAGAAATTTCTATCATATTACTATTAATCCAATATATGTGCTCAGGAGCTGTTTTTTCTAGGACCCATTCAAGTCAAGTAGTTGTTTCAATCTAGCTGTGGAGAGCGCAGCTCAGTGGCCCATCAGGGGATCGAACCGGCAACCTTGGTGTTATGAGCCTGCACTCTAACCACCTGAGCTAACCAGCTGCCACAGGAGCTGTTTTAAACAGGTGGTCTAGATACGTCCTTAAATATTTAACAAAGAAAACTTTGACTGGGCATCCTGCATTGCTGTCTTGCAAATGGTCATTGTCTAAAAAATCCGAATGATTGCTGTTGACTTGCGATTGGTAGGTCTCTCCCAAAGGCTCTTACCCCTTCTCCATGCCAATATATCTACAGCAGTAGCATGGTATGGTACAGAGAACCTTGGATGTGGCAGGTGGAACAGCAAACTATGGTTAAGAGCACAGGCTCTGGACTCAGAAGGGCTCTGGAACGTGGGCTCTGGCACTCATTGTATAATCTTAGGCAAATTATTTAATTGTGCTGTGCTCCAGTTTCCTCATCTGTAAAATTGGAATAGAAACACCTTCTTGATTGGGTTGTTTTAAAGATTAAATTCTATAACCCATAAAAAAATGTGTAATAACCATCATTTATTGAGCAGTTATATATAGTTAAGTCAAAAGATCTAGATTTGATCTCCTTCAATATTTCAATTCCTTTTGACAAGTTATTTAACCTCTCTCAGTCTTCAGCCTTAATTTCTTCATCTTAAAAATGCAAGTCACAAAATCTATCCTCACAGGATTATCATAAAAATTTGAAATATTTAAAGTGGAACAATATATATTAATGTACTGACATGTAAAACAAATGCTGACTATGAATCTGTAGTGGGTGCTCTAATACAACTGAAAGTGATCTGGGGGGAGGGGAACACTATGAAAATGTATGAAAAACAACACCAGGAGTACCCAGCTTTAACTGCTGGAGTCACTGCAGGGCTAGTGAAGGCCAGGCTGTGTCTAATGATTTCCACTGCACTTGCTGGCCTGTTACTCAACACCACGAGTGATTCCAGAGTTCAGGAGATTCAAATTAAGATTGGAACAGTTTATCCACATTGGAATCCTGGGCCTGAACTCTAGACGTGGTTATCATGCCGGAGTCCAGGAGGGAGGAAGACAGCTCCACCACTATTTTTGTTGAGTAGATGAGGTAAGTGCAAGGAAAACTTGTTTCAGAAATGGCTTCCCAGTTATTTTTATTTTTTGGGGGGTGGTGGCGGCGGGTAAGTGCTTAGCCAGGTTCCTAGCAACAACTATATTTTGGGTATAAATATGAAGGATTGATAACCTAGTGACTAATCTAGAAATTAAGAAACTATAGAAGAAGATACAGAATGTCATGAGTTTATGACCAGACACTAGTTAAATTTTAGGCTGGTGACAATGATATGAAGTAACCAAACATCACATTTTCAGCTTGTATTCAGGTCGGAATGCATTTCTTTTACAGTAAGAAGTAGCCTTTTCACATAACAGGGAAGAGAGGCCTGAATTAAGTACACCTTATTTTTATCCAATTTACCTTGAATCTCATGAGATTTTTCTCCATTAAAGTATAGTTACTTATTGTAATAGATACTCAACCATTCAACAAATATTTATTGAGTGCCTGCATGTACCAGACATAGCAAGGTGCTGGATGTACAAAGAAAAATTATAAAACAACACCATAAGGTTCTATTACTTTATAACTTGAAATATATCCAATGCAATTTGGAAATCAAGGTTATGGTGTATATTAAAAAAATTATTACTTAAAATATGACATAATACTCAAATAACTTATAAATAGGCTAAATGAATTGCTGTGACATATCTTGAGAACTACTTGGGAAGGGTATGTCATAAGCAATGTGGGTTCTGCGTTGGTTTAATACTGTTTTCAAACATCAACTTTTTATACTCACAGATACAAAATTGAGATAAAAATGATATGTGACTACCTGAGCACCATTATTCTTTTTTTTTTTTTAAAGATTTTTTTTTATTGGGGAATTGGGGGATGGGAACAGACAAGTTGCTGTCCTTTTGTTCTTCAGTCTAGTTGTGGAGGACGTTGCTTCACTGGCCCAAGTTGGCACCATCATTGTGCTCTTCCCAGGCGAGGCAGATCAGTCGCCGGCTTCTGGACGGCCGCTCACTGCGGCTGCTGGCCGCTCACGCTGGCTGCTGGCTACACACGGTAGCCCATGGCAACCCACTGCCACAGGGGCTGCAGCCTATGCCGTCGCCAGTGACTCCCGGCAGCCCAGCTCCAGGTTGAGCTGTTGTTCAGCATCTTAGCTGTAGAGGGCAGTGTCACTGGCCCTCATATGTGGGATCCGAACCGGGGCCCTCTGGCGTCCCAAGCCAGCTCTTAACCAATGCGCCACTTGGCCGGCCCTGAGCACCATTATTCTGAAGTAGGCAGCATTTCTCTGATTGTCCAAGGAGCTCATTCAAACAGAGGGTAAATGGGAATTCATAATGTCAAGTTCACAAAACAGAATGAAAACTAGTTTCTACAGCTTTTCATACCACACTGTCTCCCATAAACTAAAATCATCTTTTGTTAGATGTGATTGAGGCAGGGCTACTACTGAAGACAGATGCCGTTCACTGAGCATAAGTTGCTGGGCACCCACGTTATAAGCAGTCTTTATGATTTCTGGGAACGTCTGGGACAAAGTCAGAGAGGTAAGATTAGACATCTGATCTCTCACACTCTGGGTCAGGAGACTGAAGTTGTTGCCTTCTTTCTCTAGGGAAAGACTCAAGTGAAGTTTCCATGCAGCCGCAGTTCCTGTTTTATGAGAGTTCCAAGGGAGGAGTGAGGATGAAGGAGACGAAGGAAGGAAGGTCTAAGAGCAGCGCTGTCTAACTGAAGTGTCTGCAATGGTGGAAACGATCTATGCATGTGCTGTCCGATACGGTAACCACACACAGCTAGAGTACTTGAAATATGGCTAGTTGTGACGTGGAATTGGAATTGGAATTTTAATTTATTTAAATAGTCTCATGTGGTTAGTGACTACCATATTGGACAGTATGGATCTAGAGAGACAAAAACCTAAATCGTAGGTCTTAAAATACTAATAATGAATACAGGCAAGGTAGGCACTCTAACAGGGTAAATGTTTACTGAAAGGTCTGTTGCTTGGCTAACACCAGAGGTTAAAACTATGCAGGAGGAAAAGCTTCCTAAATGTGGCTCAGAAACCCGTGTAATTTCAGAGCATGCAATTAAAGGCTGTAAGTGGTATACAAGGTAACACTCTGGCCTTTGATCCTTGTGAACCCACAAATCATTTTCAGGTCCGCTGCTATGTACAAGCTCAGGTAAACATTAGCTTGGGAAACTTTCTAGTGACAATGTGATCCCCATCCCACCCACCCCCAC